GATCCTTTTGAAGGCATCTTGGCCGTCCTGAAGGCCTCTTGGGCTGTCTTCAAGCAATTATGGACCAATTTTAAAACGGTCTTGTGCGGTCTTGGGCTCTCTTGGAGCCCTCTGGGGCCATCTTGGCGCCCCCTTAAACGTCTCTCTGGCCCTCTCGTTGCCCCCCTTCCCCTCCTGTGGCGCGTTTCTGGCACCCCCGACGGGTCCAAAAACGGCTGGAGGCGACATCAGTGCACTCCAGGGAACAGTAGATTTGTATATAGATAGATGTACACATATATGTATGTATATATATATATATAGAGAGAGAGAGAGAGAGAGAGAGATTCCACCTGAGAAAAAAACAATCAGTGGATGGTTTGAAATGGCCCACCGGAATTGGCCCGCAACCAATAACCAGGAACCCGGAACCCGGAACCCGAGAACCCAGCTGGCCACCAAAATCGGCGAGAAACTTTCGCCAACTCTTCCATCTGCTAGGACCCATGCAGTGCAAGCACTGATTGAGGAATCTCTATATATATGTACATATATATATATATATATATATATATATATATGCGTGCGTATGCAAAAATATGCCCCCTCAACCAATTGTCCGTAGAGGTCCTAGCATGTCCTGTACAAATCTTAGAACTGGAGATGGGGCAACCGTGATGTGGGATCGGTGGGGCGCCGACTGTCTCCCGTGGTCTCTCGTGGCGCCCGGCTGCGCCCTCTCCCTTCACTCTCTGCTTATCCGCTCGTGGCCTGCCTCCAGGATGGAGCCCTCGCTCCCGCAGGCTGCGCTGGTTCCTGCCTGCCTTGCTCGTCTTGTCGCCTGGGCACCGTTCCTTCAGGCGGGGCTTGGCTCCTGCGTGGCCTCCCAGCACCTTGTAGGCCCCGCACCTGGAGCAGGCCGCGATCTCCTGGGCGTCTTCGCCTGCGCCCGCGCAGGCGTGGCAGAGCGAAGTGCCCCAGGATGCTGAAGGCGACAGCTGCGGCCGAGATGGCGGTCGCGCTGCTCCCCGTCGAGCGGCTGCTCCGCAGGCATGGCCGCTTGGCGGGGGCGCCGACGCCGAGGGCCTCTCCAGACAACGGAAGCTCCTCGGCTGTAGCGGCCTGCGCCTGGCGTTGCTCGCCTGCAGGAGGGGGCCCTCCGCTATCCTTGGCCGACCCATCGAGGTGCACCTTGCCGCTGAGCCTGCCGTCAGCTGGCTTGCGAATCCTGCAGATGCGCATCGTCCAGTGCGCGTTGGAGAAGTGGGCACCACGCACGTGCTGCCCCTTCATGCCCAGCTCGATACCTGGCCCGAGCAGCCGCCCGATGGCGCTCCCGAACAAAGGCCGAAGCAAGAGGGGGTCGCTGCTGAGCTTCCACCTCTCATGGCGGTTGGAGGCCTGCCGAGCATCATACCCATCCTTTATGCTCAGCGCCTGAGGCCCGAGGAACATGGGCTTGAGCTCGTCCCCGGGGTCCGCGACCTTGCACCGCTCCGACTCGAGGCGCCAGCCGAATCGCACCAGTGTCCGCACCGCTGCGACGGCGGGCGCGGCCCAGCGCCCCCCTGCGGCGGCACTGACGCGCCTGGCTGCTGCAGCCTCCAGCCCCCCAGTACACATCTTGCGCGGCAGCTCGGCTGACTGCAGCAGGTCCGCCATCGCTGCCGTTGCCTCGGGATGCTCAAGTACGCCCGCTTGGCCAATGGGGTCGCTCCACCCGCTAGTGCCGAACTCGAGGGCCCCGACCTCGTCCTCCTCACAGGCTGTTGTAGTGGCTGCCTCCACATCGGCCAGGAAAAGCGCCACCTGCCGAACGCACCGGGCCACGTGCGAGGGCCGCCAGCGCCGCCCCCTGTCAGCTGTGAGCCACTGCAGCGCTACATCGAGGGCCTGGCGCATGGCGCGGGTGAGGGCCGAGCGTCGGTGGCGGCGCTCGTGCTTGACCACCGCGCTGAGGGGCTTGAGGACAGTCATGGGCCCCTCGGCCCGTCCCAGGTACCTGCGTAGGTCGCCGTCGTCGATGCCGTGGATCCCCACCAAGGTGCTCTCGACTACCTGGATCCACCGGCTAGCTGCCTCATGGGGGGCGCTCGGGTGGGAGCCCACCTCCCAGGACCAACGGCAGGGCCCCACCTGCCTGCGAGTGCGCCCCACGCGGTTGGGCACCTGGACAGCACCATCTTCGCGGGGTCGGCGAGCTGCGGCGTCGTCATCAGGGAAACGACCTGGGCGGATCAGCACCTGCGCCAAGGCATCTGGTCTCGCGCCCTGCAGCAGCAGCCTCGCAAGCTTGTGGGGGTACGGCCCAAAGCCATCCAGCACCGAGGCCTCACTGACCCCCTGGGCCCGACCGAAGGGGCTCGCAAACCAGTCGTGCACGTGCTCGGCCCCTTGGCCTACGCACGTGAACTCGGAGAGTCCCAGGTGCGTACCTCGCTGCACTCTGGGCCATCCCAACTCGCGCAGCGCGCCTGGCTCCACGTTGAAGTCGGCCTGCGTCAGCCAGGGCATGCCAGCGGAGAGCTCAATGTCACCGAAGGCGGCGGAGATGCCGAGGTTGACGCCTTTGGGCCCCAGGGCGCCCTGCAGGCGGGCCACCTCGGCGCTGCTGCCGCCGAGCTGGCGTGGCCCCGCAGCGCTGGCCTCACTGGGCCTTCTCCTGCCCTGGCGGGGCCCCTCCGCCCCTGCCCACAGCTGCGCGGCCAGCAGGGCGAGTAGCCAGAGGGGCCAGGTTCGCAGCCTCGGCTGCCAGCTCCCGCTTGCAGGCCTGCGCCACCAAGCACGTTGCCATGCCGCTCGGCTTGGCCGCGCTCCGCTGCGGCCTGGGGCTGCCAGGGGCCGCTGCTGCCTGCGAGGTTGCCGTCGTTGCCGTCGTCGCTGCTGATCTCGCCCACGCGGCAGGACTCCGCCCGCGGTGCTTGCGCGGGGGCCAGGGGGGGCCCAGCGAGCTGCGCTCGCACCGCCTCCATCTGGGCGCGGACGGCTGCCCATGCGACCTCGAAGTTGCTGGAGGCCCAGGCCTCTGGCAGCTTGTCCAGCTGCGTGAGGAGCCCTGGGACCTGGCTGGCTCCTGCCCACTCAGCGGCCCGCTGGCGCTCCCGCGCCTCCGCTTCCTCACGGGCGGCTTCCTCGAGGACCTGGAGCGCCCTGCTGGCCTCCTCCAGCGCGCTGTCCCGCTCCGCGAGTTCCTCCTGGGCCTTCTGGAGCTGGGCCTCCGCGAGGTTGCGCGCCACCTGCTTCTGCTCCAGGTCCTGGCGGGCTGCGAGGAGCCGCTTCTCCGCCTTGCTGATGGCGTTGGCCTCCTTGTGCAGCAGCGTCGACCGCGGCATGGTGGCGGCCTTCTGCTCCGCTGTTGCCTGCTGGGCCCTGGCCAGCTCTGCCCGCTTCGACTCCAGCTGGCTGGCCACGACGCTGGTGAAGCTGCCGTCCACGCCCTCGGGCGGCCCAGCCTGCAGCGCCTCCAGCTGCTCGACCGTCGCCTGCAGCCTTTCGATAGCCGTGACTCCGCCGCCACTCGGCGCTTGGCGGATGCCGCTCGCGAGGCAGCGCTGCGGGCCTGCCGCTGGGCTTTGCGCCCCTTCGGCTGGTCCACCCAACCGTCCTTGTCGGCCTTGGGCTTCCCCGCGGCGGGGGCCGACCCCAGAGCCCAGGGCGGCGCTGCATACCCATAGCTGAGGCAAGAGGATCGCCAGTCCCAGTTCCAACCTCCGCAGCTGCACATCCAGTACGGCCTGCTGCGCTTGCCACTGCTGCCGCCTCGCGAGGAGCGCGCCATGGCCCCAGGCGCACGTGCCGAACGGTCGCGCCTCCGCGCTGCGAAAGCCAGGAGCAGAACAACAGAGTGCACTGGCCCAAAGCGAGGAGCCCCTCGCGCTCGGAACGCCGCGGACGACTCGCGGTCGTCGGGTGCTCCATGGCCTTGAGCCAAAATGGCTACGGATTGTGGCCTCCCGTGGTCTGCCATGGTCTCCCGTGGTCTCCCGTGGCCTCCCTGTGAGCTCCAGTGGTTCTCCCGCGGTCTGCTCGTCCCCCAGGGTCTCCGGTGGTCTCCCGTGGTCTCCCCAATGGCCCCCCGTGGTCTCCGGTGGTCTCCCGTGGTCTCCCAGGGTCTCCAGGATCTCCCGTGGTCTCCAATCGGCCCCCTTGCGTCTCTCTAGAGGAGTCTCCGTCCGTGACCCTCTCCACGCCTCGGTACCAAGCTGCTTGAAGCCTTATGCCGCACGGGTGCGAGACGCAAAATTGTTGGCCTTCGATTGCCTGTCCCGATCGGGGCGCAGGCCCGCCCGCAGCGAGGGACAGGTCCTGCAGCAACTTGTCAGCGGTGACGAGCTTCTCGTGCCCTTCGGGTGCGACCTTCACCATTACGGCCTCGCCAGCCTGCGTCAAACGGCACAAGCATAACCTTTTCCGAGGTTCACGCGGATGTCATCGATCGGCGCTAGATTAAGGTCGGGCCTGTCCCCCTGCAGGCAGATTTTGGGTGAAAAATTAAAAAAGTGTCAAAACATATTCCAAAATGGTCAAACATCGTCCCCAGACTATTCTTGGACTGTTTTGGAACATTCCTCCTGTAGAGGGACAGGCCCTACTTAACGCTCGACCCCTCCTCCCTTCCCAGCGCGTGCAGCGCGCCAGGGGCGGCGCCAGAGGCGCCGCCGCGGGGGCCCAGGCGCCGACCCGAAAAATCCGCGAGCAGCTCCGAAGGTCCATGCTTAGGTCGGGCGTGTCCCCCTTACAGGCGGATCTTGGGCGAAACATGGAAATCCCCCTCAACATACATCGAAATAGCTAAACAATACTCAACAAATCGTCCCCATACTATGTTTGACTACATTGGAATCTTCCTCCTCTAGAGGGAGGGGCCCGACTTACGTTTATGCTTATGCCGATGTTTGCTATTCGAGCGAGGGGCTGGTCTGCCTCGACGGAGTGCTGGGCGTACGCCTCGCGCTGGATCGCGAGGCACTCCTCCATATGATCCAGCGCGCTCTGGCGCTCGAGCATCTGCAAACTTCGGATCAAACTCTCCGCGCTGTGGGCGAAATCACGGGGCGCGTTCTCGGTTCCCGCGCCGTCGTCCTCCTCGGGGAAAAAACCAAACTGCATAACCATAAACCTTCGAAACTTCGCGCTGATTTCTTCGATCGGCGCTGGGCCCCCTGGCGCGCGGAGCGCGTCATGGGCGGCAGCGCCAGGGGCGCCGCCATGTGGGCGCAGCGCCGATCCAAGAAGTCCGCGCGGAGCTCCAGCCGTTTACGTCTATGTAGTTGTTGAACTTTTTCCTGTTCGAATCCTGTTCTCCAGAGTGGCTGTAGAAGGTGTACAGAGCTGGTGATAGCGTGGCCAGCACAAACGCCACGATCCACGTGAGCCTCAGGAGATCAATGTATTTTTCATCTTTTTCTGCGGCTGTCCCGTCTGAGTCGATGCCGTACTTGGGGTACAGGACCCTGTCGTTGACCAAGTAGGCGCCGAAGACGACCGCATCCATAAGATCCAGCCAGCAGCCATTCAAAAACCCAGAACTCTGGGCTGAGCTTGGCACTATCGGGAGATCCTTGAGAGTCCATGATATACTCAACACCGCCAGCCATTTCAAGAGCATGAACATAGTATCGAGATCTTGTCCGAATGCGAATGGCACAGGGACGTTTGGCCTCGTCAGACTGTAAATGTCTTGAACGCAGCATTTCATCGCACGTTTTCCCTTTCCCATCCAAGTGTAGCCGCTGCAGACATCTGGATCGAATTCGATTTTACACGTCACATGACGGTTGACTCTCGACACGCAATCTAGGGGAGGATATTCTTCCAGGCAGTGGGCCATTGTCAGGTTGAGGACAGCATCGTCGGTTTTCACCACGTCGATAACACCATCGGTCAAATATGTGGCGTTGGTCGCGCGTGTGTCGGAGTATTCGGCGATCCGCTTCACCTGCACTTGAGGGTTGAACGTGACTGTTGTCAACGAATCCAAAACCAAATAGTAGGCCCCGAAATAGATCACCCACTGCGAAACCGAAAAAACGATGTACATCGCCGACGCGGCACTCGCCGTGACAGTGCACCGTCCAAAACGTCGCTGCCTTCGGAACCACAAGGAGATGGCGACCCATCGCCCCGCAAGACAGACCAGGAACACGATCCAATTGAGCTCCTTGACGTTGTGCTTGTCCTGCTGAACCAGGTCCAACTCCTCCAGGGTTTTGGAGCCCACACTGGCATTCTCTGCCCTGTGCAGCCAACCTCCAATGCAAGCACACCAAACGACCTCGACAAGGATGCCGACGGTGATCTGCATGCCGTACTGGCCGAACTTATGCCTGAACTCCTTCCAGGCGCCGGCGCTTTCGACCTCCACCGAGGAGTCGTCGTCTTCGTCGGAGCTCGCCGCTGAAACCTGCACCTGCCTCCTCTCTGGCATGGCTGGCCCGGATATCGGCCGGGGGCGCTCCTTGGGCATCCTCGGGGGTTTCCCCGGTGCTCCCTGAAACCCGCCCCTGGGCCAACACAGCAGCCGCGTGGCCGGTTCGAGAAGCCCTTCGGCGGAGGGGAGGAAAAGAAGGAGGGGGCCTTCTCAGAGGGCGGCGGGACTTCTCAGAAGCCTTCCGAGTAAGCCTTCCCACTTTCACTTCCCCCCCCCCAGGCGTGCCGCCGAACCCTCGGACGTGCGAAGTGCACGCCGGCGGAGGCGCTGCAGGCGAGCGCCGTGGCGCTATGGTGATAACTGTGCGGCGGCAGTCTCTCCGCGCGGTGCAGCCGGGGAGGGGAAAGGACGCACAGAGAGGGAGAGAGGGACGCACGACGAGCGAGGACGACAGGCGAGGCCGAGGAAGAGAGGGAAGGAGGGACGAGCGACAAGACGGACGACGGAGGAAACCCAGAGATCCGATGTTGTGATTTTTCAACGGCGGTCCCCCGAAGTCTCGACCCCTTCCCCAGGACCGGTTTTTCAGCCTGAGTCGTTCTTTGACGGCCCCGGGGCCCGGCGAGGGCCCCCCAGAGGCGGAAGATTAAGAAGAACCTCCGTCTTGATTTGTTCGATACGTTGGATCTCTGGGAACAGCAATGTTGGCATTTTGCGCGTGCCTCCGCCGCCTCCCGCCGGAGGGAGGAGGAGAAGCAGGAAGAGCAGGAAGAGGAGAAGGGAGGAGGAAGAGGAGGAGCAGCAGGAGGAGGAGCAAGAGGAGAAGCAGGAGGAGGAGGAGGAGGAG